GGAATCCTGAACCTCGAAGCTATTTTACTCAGATGTCGACATCATGACAAGCGCTCATGTCTGTGCTGATGTCATGGTAGAACCCAACCTGGCGGACAGAAACACTGATGGAAGCCTTCAAGCGTAAGTGTGGCAATCGTACAACAGGAGCTACAACAAGCCAACGCTTTGACCCTGTTACATGTCAATGCGTCCAATTTGGGGGGAGAAATGAGTCCTTCATTGAGGAGATGGAAGGTGCTCTATAACAATCTACGGGCATATCTGCGAACGTATGGGATCGAGGGCCATCTCAACAAGCCACCTAGCCATTATATGTAATATCATGTGCTGCATCACAGTAGACAGCGTCAAGTCGCAACATTTCATGCTTGGCACTGATCTCCTTCAAGGCTGCGTTCCGCCCTTCTCCTACTTGTCGTATATCGAGAGGAGAGTCAGGACATGGAATGTATCAGCTTATGAAATGTGGAGATGAGAAGGTTCTTGTTTGCAAACGACCTTACTTTACTGGCATGTTCTGAACCTGATCGTCAGTGCTCCCTAGAAAGATTTGCAGTCGAGTGTGACGTGAACGCAATGCGTGTGAACGCATCTAAAGCGAAAGCCTAATACTGTCTCGTTCTCCTGTCCGTTGCTCTCTTCAGACAAACAGGCAACAGTGGAACAGGTGGAAAAGTTCAAGTTCCTCGCGGTCGTGTTGGACTAGCCACTAGCGTTCTGCGTGAACTACACCGAACGACTATACTAGAACAGAGCTGAGTCTGAAAACTAAGCTTTCGGTATTCCAGTCGACCTTTCTCTCCATATTTACCTACGGTCATGAGCCGTGGACCATGACTGAAAAGCTTCGAATCCAGGTACAAGCTACTGAAATGGGCTTTCTGAGACAGATCGCTGGGTTTACGCGTCTCGACATGATCCGGAATACAGACATCCGCGACAGCGTTGACGTACAGCCCCTGCTTCTTAAGATTGAGAAGAAACAGCTGCAATGGTTTGGGCATGTATTGCGAGTGCTTCCAGAAAGGAACACGATGCAGCTACTTGCTCGGCCGATCAAGAGGGAAACCTAGAGAACGTACAAGAATAACGTGAGGCAGGTGTATTAAAGGAGTCTACTCTAGACTCTGACTGCTTCCTGCCGAAGCTCAATCGGATTCTTGGAAGCATTCTCCCGGCACACTAGGCACAAGCGGAGATCGAAATTGACTGGCTGAATTTATATTAGTCCATCAGTCATAACTGTAATCAACCATTTATATTAATAGTATGTATAACATATAATTTATAAAGGAAGATTATTTTGTTCGTGCATTGTGTTCAGTAGTCGTACTGAAAAATATACCACGCAACAGCTTCTTTATACTACGG